CCTTTACTGCGCTAATAACCCCAAAGCTGCTGCAGAAGACACAGGGAAATAAAGGCACTGAGCAATTTCAATTGGATCCTAATAAAACTCCATTACTGGTAATTAATGGGCAGAAACTTAACAGACCAGTGCGGATCTTGGAGTGGGATCAGTGGACACAGGGAATGTAAACACAGAGCAGTAAAAAAAACAATTAATCAGTTATTCAGCAACCAAATTTTGCAGGCTTGTTAACAAACTGCCTTTGTGGTCGTTTTTTTAAAGACACAGAGGTACAATAATAGAAATAAGATCAGAAATGGGTTTCTATTTTACCTGTATCCTGCCATACACTGGCACTGTCCTGTAATGTGGTCACACAGTCCTCCATTGCGGCACGAGCATTCCTTGCTGCAATTGATCCCATATTTGCCGAATGGGCATGGCTGGGCACACACAGACCCCTGTCCAGAAAGAGGGCAGAGAAAATTTGAGAATCAAATGAAAGTCATTCACAACCATTAAAACTGCACTGATTTATAGGAACAATTAAAAAATTTAATTCTGTCATCATTTACTCCCCATTTCAAACCCATATGACTTTCTTTCTTATAAAAGGAGAAACACTTTAAAGGCCCGTTCACAACTACTGTATAGCAATAACTATATTGGCTTTATTTTATAACAAGTGTGCTACAGTTATGTCGTTTGCCACTTCAAATGCTCAAGCTTTTTAAAGTAGGGTAGATTCTGATTAGCTGTCAATGGAAAAAATCTATTTTAAAGTGATTCCAACAATATTGTTCCTCTGTGTGGTTATCGTTGTAGCTGAGGTGTGGGCTTCTTATTCTCACAGAATTAGAACAACTATTAAAACTTTATAGTTATAGTCATCATCCTTGGTGTGAACATTGGCCCTGACCTTAACTCTTATTTTCTCTGCCACACATTAACATTCACTGTGATGTGATCAGTCACATGATGTGCAATCATCACACTGATGTCAAACAGGCACCATATAAAAATACGTAGACAATTAATGGCAATTTTTCACGGAACAACTACTTAAATTTCAGTCTTTTCATCATACAAAAGCATAGTCTTCTATAATGCTTTAATGGTGCTTTTTTTTGTCATTTTGGAGCAGGGCTTCAGACTGCGTCTAAAACAGTTTAATTAGCAAGTGATATTTTTGTTGAGATCACCACTGGCGACTACATAAATTTACATGTTATGACTTAAAAATTTGCATGTAATGCCTTTTTTCCTGCTTGTTTTGCGATCACATCTTTTGTTATGTTGACAAATTCATAATGAAAATCAAAACAACAAATACCGTTTTGGCATGTCCCATGTAACAGCTCATTCGCTGCTTCAAACTGCAGAAAACGTGTAAAGCTTGTAAACAATGCCACGTAACAATACATTTACCGGCATCCATAAGCTCATTAGTCAGTTAGAAAAAATAACTATAAAGAGGAGCATTTAGCTAAATATGCCCTATATTGCATATTCATATTTTTACTTAACCTGTTGTCTACATGATAATAAAGAATACAAGGAGCAAAAATAAAATTCAACACCTCCTATATAATTACATGTTACTAATGAAAAAACAAAACCAGACTGGATGTGTGCAAGACATGTGACAACATTTATAGGATGCATTGAGGAGGAGCCCAAACTACACTCAATGGGCAAGTGATGCTGACATAATTGTGGTCCATGATATTGGCACAGATTCTGTGTAATAAACAATTCTTTATGACTGTATATAGTTTTGAAGTTGGAAAAGATGTTTAGTTCCCACTTTAAGTGAACCTTAGTTCCTAAGACATTTACAAGATGGATTAAACAGCTGATGCTGTAAAAGGAGGGGAGACATAAACACATGACAGTATGACTGAAATGTTAAAGTGTTTAAAAAAAATAAAATAAATAAATAAATAAATAAAACATTTATTATGTGGCACATAAAATTTTTTAGTTTCTTATAGGAGCCAATGGCTGCTTAAATTATTTTTTTTTGTCTGTAGCCCTGTTGGAGCTTGAAAGTGCATTCACTTTCAATATATGGAAACAAATAGCCAATACATTTTTCAAAATAAAAATAACAAACATTTAGAATAACAATTCTCATACAGGTTTGAAACAACATGAGGGAATAAATTATTTTAGGTGAGCATACAGTATATAGTAGGGATGTAACGATTAACCGCGAGCCGGTTGAAAATCGATTCAAATATGTGACAATTCAAATCGGTTGAGATGCTAAACAAATCGCGATTCATTTAGGCGTAGGAGTTTATAAGAATCCATGTCTGAGGGGAACTTACTGTCTTTAGAAAAGTTTAGATGGTATTATTTTCATTTCCTCTTGCCTCTGTATAATGCATATTAAAGTAAGTGCAGCGCTGCTTTGTTTTTGCAGCGGAAACCAAGGAAACGCTTTAAGCGCCACCTGCTGGCAGAGAGTGAATCTGCGTCTCATTCAGCTCGTCCGCTGTTTCATGCAGATATTTTTTATGTATAGTTTCACAAAACTGAAGTCAAACCATTCTGTTTTTGCTACAAATTTCGAAATTATACAATCTAATTTAGATTAAAAACTGCTAATGTTGCATGTATGCAGCATCTTTGTTTGGATAATGATTAAAATGCAGTGGTTGCCTCTAATTTATTATTAGTATATTATTATAGTGTTATATTTCAATTTCACAAAGAAATGTGCAGCATTTTGTCCAAGCAATAATAAAAGTACACATTTAATTTATAATTTGTCTTAAATCTCATTCTGTTATAAAAAAAATTATAATCGTGAATCGAATCGAGAAATCAAAATCGTGAATCGAATCGTGAGTTGAGTGAATCGTTACATCCCTAGTATATAGAATCAGTATATTGAATCTATATAATTAAAGATTAAAGACTTATACAGAAACAGAATTTGGCCCTCCAAAAGAGGCCATATTCTATATATCTGTAACCACTTATGACCTTTAAGCAAGGTTCCTTAATCACCGGATAGGCGTTTATATGTATACATCTCATATGATAATGTACAGTATAGGGCCCCATTCCTATATTTTGCCTGGGGCCCCCAATTCACTAAATCCGCCCCTGACAGTACTCACAGTTATGAGGTCAATACTATTGCAATATCTAAATGACCCATTTTTGCAGTTTAGTTTTAATAAACGGTGAACAGAAATTGGAGCATTGCTTTGTGAATATTAGAGTAAGTCTACATACTGTAGCACATTAAGCTCTTTTCAGAAGAGAAAGGAAATTTGTGTTTTTGATATGTCCTCTTTACAAGTTTGAGATGATGCAAAAGGAGTAATAATGAGGCTCAGCAAACTTCACACAATTTGCTTCCAAATAATAACTTCAGCTGCTCTGCTACACTCAGATCAGTGTAATTTCTTCCCCACTTAGGTTTTTGTGTAAGTATCTACATTCAGATTCTCCTCCACCCTTCCTTCATTTACCTCTTAAACACTTTCACCTTCCCACCATTCACTTAACCCTCCCTTTCTCCTTTTAATTACTCTCTCTTTTCCTTCCTTACTTCCTTTTAAGCATGACTCACCTCTTCCGTCGCTTCAGTATCTTGCCCTTTTACTCTCCTTCACTTTCTGCCCCTCATTCCTTATCATCTGTCTCCTCATCTTTATTCCTCTCTGTTTCTTTTCTGTCCTTTATTCTCTCAGTCACTTTCCCTTTGTCCCCCACTTCTCCACCCTTTCGGTCCCCCTGTGTGCAGCATCTTACCGTCCATCCAGCAGGGCAGGAGCATTCTCCAGTGATGTGATGGCAGGTTCCTCCGTTCTGACAGGGGCAGCGCTGCTCGCACTGTGGCCCATGACTTCCAGAGGGACATCGCTCCCCACAGCTGCCGAACCACAAGAGCAAACACTTGAAACTCAGGCAGTCATTGCAAAGGATTGCAACATAAAACACAAGAACGTTCAAAGACTTTAGAATAAATGCTTCAAAAAAAATAAAAAAAATAAATCCAACCATATTTTTTTAAGTACCCTCACAAGAACTTCATAGTGTTTTCACTATGCTAACAATGAACATAGTAAGTACATAGTATGTAGACTAGTATGGGAGACTGGGGCTAGTTGTCACATGGGGAAGTACCTAGAAGATTTTAGGTAAAAACTCTCCAACATTGTTTTTCTGTGTTGGTTTCAAACACCTTCTTCAAATGGCGTCCTCCAAATTACAATTTCTGTTAACATTTTTCTAATGTATTTTGGAGAAATATGTGAAGTAACTACAGTAGCATACATTCTAGCATGGAATTGCTATTATTTTTACATTATTGAGGCATGCTCTCATATGTTTTTATATGTATTATGTAATAATTTTAAAAAATCAACTACAATTTCTGTTGGCCCAAAACAACTGATATTTAAAGGATAAAAAAAAAAAAAATTATACACTTCCGTTCAAAAGTTTGGGCTTGCTAAGATTTTTTAATGTTTTTGAAAGAAGTCTCTTAATATGCTCACAAAAGCTACATTTATTTGTTCAAAAATACAGCAAAAACTGTAATATTGTGAAATTTTACAACAATTTAAAATACATTTTCCATTTTAATATATTTTAAAATTGAATGTATTTCTGCGACCGCAAGCAGCCATTACTCAAGTCTTCAGTGTCACATGATTTATGTAAAATGGAAATATTTTCTAATGTTATAAATGTCTTTTTGGATCTAATGCATTGATTTAATGCATCCTTGCAAAATAAAAGTATTTATTTTTTATTCAAAGAACTAAAATCATATTGACCCCAAACTTTTGAACGGCAGTGTATATTTGAATTATATTTTTTCTATATTTCACGAAGCACAAAACGTTACTTTTTTAATTTAGCTGAACAAAAACAGACTATTTAATGACAGGTTCTCATTGTGACAACACAAAAGGTGAATGTGGCTCCTTTGCAAACGGTGGTGGAAAGGTTGAGTAGCTTTTTTGTAGTCAAGAGGTGTGTGCCTATACAGAAATTGTCTTTCAAAAATAATCCTACCCTTTTCACTAGAGTAACAACTTGCCCTTGTCTCCTCTATATAAAGAATATATTTCAGCAAATACATATTTACCTTCATATCTCTATATTGCAAACCAGTTTTATCTCTGGTACTCACATGGGACCCATGTAGCCTGGTGCACATATGCATTCCCCCGTCTCGTGGTGGCAGGTGGCACCGTTGAGGCATTGACATTGCAGCTGGCAGCCCTTGCCATAGTAGCCAGGCTCACATTGATCCTCACAGCGCCAACCTTGGTAGCCGTCTGTGCAGACACAGGCTCCTGTGATAGGGTTACACAGGTCCCCATTCTTGCACTGACAGCGGTTGCTGCAGTGGGGCCCCCAGTGGCCACTTTCACAACCTGATACACAGAGAAGAAGAAAGGATGCTTTTTTACACCAGCCAAATAAAATGCCACTACACTCCAGTCAGAGCTGAGGACAAAAACTCTTGCTTATTAGTACGACTCGGTCGTATTACATTGCAAGCAAAAGGCTGTGGATGGAACGGTGTCCTGGTATACTGAAATTGCCAAGACACACAATTTGTGAAGTCATAGAATTTTATTACAGAACATATGCTGACGTATACAAGTTTGTACAGTGTTTTGTCAATACAAGTGAATCCCAGTGTGAGTGGGGATTAGCTGAAGCATAGATTATTTACATCCCCTCATATATTCTCTTTAAATTATCAACGAGTTAATACCATGCTGAAAGCAAACGCTATCAATAAAATGGGTGAAACTGCAAGCAGCTAATCTTGCAAACGCACCTAAAGTGGCCCAGAGATGCTATAAAAGACTGACACAGTCATTCTTGTGTTTACATGGTATTAGCTAGCATAAATAGGCCCATAACCACCATAGACATACATTTTGTATGTTTTTTCTTTTACATTTGTTTACATCTTTGCATTTTACTGCATGCATCAGGAGATATTTTATTTGATTCTCAGAGCACATGTGGTTTCCCTCACCTCATACCTTAAAAATCAGTGCTAACTACTAACTCATGCTAACTTAGTGGATATTTCGCCATCGTTTCTTACATACTGTACATTACTGCTCAAATGTTTGGGGTCAGTAAGACCTTTTTTGAGAAAGAAATTAATGCTTTTATTCAGCAAGGATGCAATAAATTCATCAAAAGTGACAATTAAGATATTTAAAATGTTACCACATATTTCTATTTAAAATAAATGCTGTTCTTTCAAACTTTCTATTAATCAAAGAATCCTGAAAACAACATCATATTCCATATAATATCATATTTCATGTTTCTTGAGCACCAAATCAGCCTATTAGAATGATTTCTGAAGGATCATGTGACTAAGCATGGAATAATGGCTGCTGAAAATTCAGCTTTGCCATCACAAGAATAAATTACATTTTAAAACATATTAAAATAGAAAACCACTATTTAATATTAATATTATTTATATTTGAATAATATTTTGCAATATTACTTTTTTCTGTATTTTTAATCAAATAAATGCAGCCTTAGTGAGCATAAGCGACTTTTTTTCAAAAACATAATTTCAAATTATAATGGTTTCATCCAAAGCAACCTACAATGTTAAAGGTACTGTATGATTTAAACAACCTCAGAAACGAGTCCATATTTAACCACTATGGCTGATGATACATGGGGCAACTTTTTGAGCAATGTTGCTTGGGCACTTTCCCATTTAGAATGGGTAACAAATTTCTATACGGATACTTTAGATTGGTCGTGGGCCCTGTGTCTCACCTGGTTGCCCGTTTACGGCAACATTAGCCAAAGTTGCCCCGTGTATCATCAGCCTAAAGGGCTTTTCACACTGAAAGTGAAAAATTGACGTGAATGTTCGTCGCGATGCCGCTTTTGAATCGAAACAATAGATCCCTATGGAGCTATTCACACAAGGCGCGATCATTTGCGGTGCGAAAAAGCGAGGATTTTTTCCCCGTCGCTCCGCGATGAAACGGGCCGTCCAATCAGATTTGAGCTTAGATGACGTGCCCAGAGCAGCTGCTGTTGCACAAAAGGGTGAGAGAGGTGGCGCGGTTTAGAAAATCAGTGTAAACAAACACCGAAGAAGAGTATCCCGGTAGAGAGAAGAGAGTGGATGCCGAGTTCCTGTTATCTTTGGTATCTGAGGACAAATGTATTCTCACATGTTCTTAATATAATTTCTAAATTCTCCATTGAATTATGTGATCTGGAGTGTCCGTTTTCTTCCACGTGTGCGAGTGTAATGAGTCAGAGCGTGTTAACTCTCTAGATCTTCCGTGTTTTAAAAAACGAGTGAAACATTTTCTACACATGAAATATGAAAGCAAATAGACATATGATTATGACGATATATTTTCTGTATGTGTTTTGTATGCAGCTCATGGTAATTTTATAACAATAAAGGATGTTTATGACAATAAGCAGTGTGGCGTTATTAAACATAGCCTACAAAGAGTGCATGTCTGCCTATTATAGAATCAAAATCAACTATAGATCACTTCATTAGAAATTAGCCTACTGATTGCCACCATTGATGGACAACATTTTTTAATAATATAAAAAATATCTGTATGACATTTTATTCTGCAGTTCTTCCCTGCTGTACCGAATATCTATACTTTTCAAATTATCATATTGACGTTAGAAATTCAAATATTGTGACAATTTATTTTGTAGGGTGCCACAAGTTTGTTAAAATTTCCAAAGGGTGCCGCGACTAAAAAAAGGTTGGGAAACACTGATTTAAACAACCTCAGAAACTAGTCCATATTTAACCACTGAAGTGCCAGATGCTTGACTAAGCTCAGAAGGCTATTTTGAAAGTGGATGAAGCCCTAATGAAGACTGTGTGCTGCGAGACACCAACGACCGTTGTCTATGCCAGACAAACACGAGGTGGATGATCAGCACTTGGAGAAGACAGCTTGGCATAGAGGGGGGCCATGGAACATCCTGACGCTGGAGTGAGTCTTTCCCAGGAGGTGCGAGGTAGGCCGCATTAAGTAGCTCAAAGAGGGCAGGAGGCACGTTATTGATTTGAGTAAATCTGCTACAGATGAGTTCTTCTGTCGGTTGAGCTCTCACGCCACACAAATGACCATGGCACATTAAAGGCAGGAAACCTGCGGGAGGTCAGCAAAGATAGATGAGCCGCTCATCGTCTGCTCCACTCACAGTCAATCAGCACTCATCACGCTCCTCTCAGTTCTCCCACGCTGATGAGAGAAAAAGAGCAGAAAAACACAACACATCCACCGTTTGCCTCACTCACTGGCCCGCGGATCTCGTCAACTCCCCATCAGCCGCAAAGTGAGCGCTTCACTTTCAAAGAAGCCTCATACTGGGACGCAAACAGTTTCCCTCCCATTCAACATGGCAAATCCACTCCGCATTGGCTCCAAGTCCGCCGGCCTCTTCATCTGCAGCCATTCTGAATCATTGCGGAGGAGGACAAATAAAGTGGAAATCTAGACAGAGCTTAATTTGCAGAAATCTTTTTCTCTGGTGCTCAGAAGCAGCACAAAATGTTGCCATTGAAGACTCAAAGCCTCTTTTCCCCCCACAGCGAGACGCCTCAGCACATTTCCTCCTAAAGCCCATTATCTCAGCCCGTCCCTTCTGCGTTTAGTTTAAGACTCGCCGCAGACAGTCTCTCACTGCAGGCCCTCTGACAGCATTTAGCCGCAGAAGGCGATCAATCGTTTCGTGCTCGGTGTGAAAGCAACGTTCGTAAGCAATTCGCCTCGCTTTTCCGCATCACGCTCAGTGTGAAACGGACTTAGGGTTAAGCCAGCTGCTTGACTACGCTCAGAAGGCAGTTTTGAAAGTGGATAAAGCCCTAATGAAGACTGTGTGCTGCGAGACACCAACGACCGTTGTCTATGCCAGACAAACACGAGGTGGATGATCAGCACTTGGAGAAGACAGCTTGGCATAGAGGGGGGCCATGGAACATCCTGACGCTGGAGTGAGTCTTTCCCAGGAGGTGCGAGGTAGGCCGCATTAAGTAGCTCAAAGAGGGCAGGAGGCACGTTATTGATTTGAGTAAATCTGCTACAGATGAGTTCTTCTGTCGGTTGAGCTCTCACGCCACACAAATGACCATGGCACATTAAAGGCAGGAAACCTGCGGGAGGTCAGCAAAGATAGATGAGCCGCTCATCGTCTGCTCCACTCACAGTCAATCAGCACTCATCACGCTCCTCTCAGTTCTCCCACGCTGATGAGAGAAAAAGAGCAGAAAAACACAACACATCCACCGTTTGCCTCACTCACTGGCCCGCGGATCTCGTCAACTCCCCATCAGCCGCAAAGTGAGCGCTTCACTTTCAAAGAAGCCTCATACTGGGACGCAAACAGTTTCCCTCCCATTCAACATGGCAAATCCACTCCGCATTGGCTCCAAGTCCGCCGGCCTCTTCATCTGCAGCCATTCTGAATCATTGCGGAGGAGGACAAATAAAGTGGAAATCTAGACAGAGCTTAATTTGCAGAAATCTTTTTCTCTGGTGCTCAGAAGCAGCACAAAATGTTGCCATTGAAGACTCAAAGCCTCTTTTCCCCCCACAGCGAGACGCCTCAGCACATTTCCTCCTAAAGCCCATTATCTCAGCCCGTCCCTTCTGCGTTTAGTTTAAGACTCGCCGCAGACAGTCTCTCACTGCAGGCCCTCTGACAGCATTTAGCCGTGATTAAAGAGTCAGAGATCATTTGGTGCCACGGGCAAGGCTGTAAAACACACAGTCTTATTCCTATTTCTCTGTGCTTAAAATATCTAAAGGAAAGCTTCCATAAGGATGAGTCTAATCAGAGAAGAGATGAAGGAAGAGTGGATGAGGGGCCCGTTGGGGCAATGGACGTTGTGTGTGGGCAGAGATTCAATGGTAAGTACACCAAACGGCCGACCTGCAATGCAACCCCTATTTAAAGTGCTCAGCATTGAACAAACTAATCAAAGGGTGCGTTTGGGGAGACAACCGATGCTCCTCTTCACAACAAACTTGCACCTTGAGGCATCAGGACTGAGTTGTGAGCATGCGTTTGTGTACTGTACTTTAATAAGCAGAAAAATGTAACAGTCTGATTTGATCAGATGGTTGAGAAAGATCTCAGTGCAGGGCAGCCACGCACAATCCTGTGAAAATCCAATCCCTAATGCTGCTACTGAGTTCTCTCATAAGCGTGGCAAGCCTTATTATAAAAGAAGTGAAATCCTTTCAGCTGCAGGCCTGATTTAAAAATTATTAAGGCTGACAAGAAAAATACTGTATGTATTTTGGTGCTACGTTCTGCCTAGAGCTGTGTGCGCAGCTAAATAAACATGAACATCACAAAAGGATAATTAGGGATTAAATTCCAGAGTTTA